TCGAGAAGGGGAAGAAGATGATCTAGGTTCCATCAAACCCAAAGCAGATTTGGGTTTGACCAAACCCAACTATATTGGTTTTGGTGGAACCAAATTTGCTGGGTTCCATGGAACCCAAGAAAGAGGGAGAAAGAGAGAGAAAGAGGGGGGAGAAGATGGGTCGAAAGGGGGTAAAAGATGAAGAAAAAGAAAGAAAGAGAGGGATGAAGATGGATCAAGAAGCAGAAGAAGATGATTTGGGTTCTACAGAATGTAGGAAAGAGGAAGAAAGAGAAAGAAGGAGGGGGAAGAAGATGGATTGAGAGAGAAAGGGATAATATGTAATTTTCTTGTTTTTTTATTTATTTTTATTAAAAATATAAATGTTTATCTGATTTGTCATTTTTATTTATCCACGCAACTTAATTTTAAGATATGTCATTGCCATGTCATCAAAAGAATTAAAAAAAATTTTCATTATGGAATTATTTAACTGTCACGTCATGATTAACTGACGAAGGATCAAAATTGTACAATTTTTATGGTTAAAGAATCAAAAAAAGTGCAAAAAATAATTGAGGGACGAAAAATGTTATAAAGTTGAGGGACCAAAATTAGCATTTAAACATAAAAAAGGGGGCAAACCTCCCTTCTGCAACCTGAATGTTTAATTCAGAAATTAATGGAAATCTTAGATGGCAGATGATAACAGATAACAACTATATCATCTGACACTTCTGTAACTATATATATTTTTTCACATATTCTCCAATAATCCTGTCGAATCCAACTACTAGGTTTAATCGAACCTAATAGATCTGGATCGTTGAACCCAGCTGCTGGGTTCGGTGAAACCTAGTTGCTCGGTCATTGAACCCAACTGTTAGGTTTCATTGAACCTACTTGTTGGGTTTCATCAAACTGAGCAAATCTCATCAAATCAAATTAACTCCTCAATAAACAATGTCAATCAAACCTGAATCAAACTCCAACATTAATGCAATCAAATTGTAAATCAACTCTCAAATTTTGAAAAAACCTATAAAGAATAGATACAATAGGTAGATCAAAACTTGGGAATGGAATGCGAAAGAAGAATGAGAAAACCTAGTGAACTTAACAAACAGAGGATGGAAGGCTTTAACGGAACC